TGTGGGAATGGTTTTCCTGGTTTGTCAGATAGCATCGTTCAGAGGCAAAGGGACGAGAAGGATGAACCCCAGGAAGAAAAAAGTGAAGGATGATTCTGCTCAGAATCATCTCCTGGCAACGCCTCCCTCAGAGAACAAGCCAGAGTTTGCCCCCTGGCCGGTGAGGCCCCATACCCTCTGCCCCGTAAAGCTCTCCAACCTTGGCTCTTCCCACTTTCCCCTTCACTCACTACACTGCAGCGATGCTGACCGCCCCCGTGCTCCTCATACAGCCCAGGGGCATTCCTACCACAGGACCTTTGCGCTGGCCCTTTCTGGCATTTGGAACTCTGATCCCAGCTAGCCCCATAGCTCCCTCCCTCTCCTTCCTCAGATCTTCACTCAAAAGTCACTTTGTCAATGAGAGGGTCCATGACCACCCCATTTAATACTGCAACAGCCCTCACTGCACACACACACACACACACACACACACACACACACACACATTCCATTCCACTTCCCTGATGTAATTTTCTTTTAGCACTGTCACCACCCGACAAAATGTATTTTCTTATTCGTTTGTCTTCCCCCCACTGAGGGGCAGCTCAGTGAGGGCAGGGACTGTTGTCTATACTGTTCGCTTACTGAACACCTCCTGTGCCCTGGGCTCAGTTTAGGCACTGGGGATGCGGGAGTGGGCAGACAGAAAGAGAGACAGAAAGTGAGATAGAGGATGACGGGGCTGCTGTTTAGCCCGCGTGGCTGAGGTGGGCTTCTCTGAGGAGATGACTTTCGGGCTGTGGCCTGGACAGAATGATGGGGTCAGTCTTCTTCTTCTTCTTTTTTTTTTTTAAGTGTATCTGTTTATTTAGAGAGATAGAGAGCAGAGGAGGGACAGAGAGAGAGAGGGAGAGAGAGAATCCCAAGCAGGCTCTGCACAGTCAGTGTGGAGCCTGACACGGGGCTCGAACTCAACGAGCCACACGAGATCGTGCCCTGAGCTGAAACCAAGAGTCACATGCTTCACCGACGGAGCCACCCAGGCGGCCCTGGGACGGTTGGAGGCCTCTGTGCCCAAAGGAATGGGCTAGGGACAGTGTTCAGGAGGGCTGGTAAGGTCCCGGCACATACCTTGTATTTTCTTCTAAGTAAGTGCGGTGGGAGGGAAGAAAAGGCCCCCTGACATGCTCACAAGTTCTCTTGGCTGTGTGTGGGAAATGGTCGGGGCAGGGAACAGGGAGCCCAGGAGAAAGTATTTTAGCCAGAGTAGAGGTCATGGAGAAGGATTAGTGGAGCAAAGGTTAGACTTGGGATCGTCTTGCAGTTGGAGCCACGAAAACTTGCTCTCTCTTTCTCGTCTTCTCCCTGAGGGACCATTCCCACCACTGACTCCTGCCAAAAGCCTGTCTCCTGTGCCATCTGGCATAATGGTGACAAGCATGACCTCTGGAGCCAGTGCCTGGTCCCGGGCTTACAATTCCAGTGCCATTACTCACAAGCCAGTGTGACCTTGGGCAAGTGACTTTAATGTCCGGTGCCTCAGTTTACTCCCAGTAAAACTGGCGATGGTAATAGCCACCTCATAGGGTCGTTGTGAGGATAAAGTGAGTAACGGCCCTATCAATGTCAGCGTTTATGTATTTCACACCCCATATGCGATCCCTGGCAAAGCCCTGTGTGAGCGGCTTTCTCGAAACACTGGCGGTGGTTTGGGGGTTCAAATCTGCCAAGTCTGAGTTCTGACCGCTAGTTGGGGCAGTGGATGGGGAGGGAGGGTGCCTGGGCGGGGGGGGGGGGGGGGGGTGGACTACGTGAGTCTCCTCGTGCCTCCCCACCAGGCATCGACCTCATGGACATGGCTTCGGATATCCTCCAGCCCCAAGGAGATGATGTGGCCCGCATGAGCTGGCAGCTCCGTAACCTCATCAGCAGATACCAAGAGAGCTTCAATGTCATCGAGAAGGTGCAGGGGCAGGCAGGGCACCACCCCCAGCCCCCTCCACCTCTTCCAGACCAGCCCTGACCACCACCCACTTCCGTTCCCTTACAGTGCCCTAAACCGGTGATCGCCGCCATCCACGGGGCCTGTATTGGTGCGGGTGAGTACGCAGACACCCGCCACGCATCCGGGCACCCACGCTGGCCGGGCGCCTATTGGCTGCCGCCCTTCCGCCTCGGCCAGTGACCGCCAGCCTCAGATCAGTTGCTAGCTCAACTCGGTCCAGGGGTGCGACCCCACCACCTGGGAGGAGGGGTTGGTTCATGTGGTTGCTTAATGCCCCTGGCCTCCACCTCGCAGGCGTGGACCTCGTCACTGCTTGTGACATCCGGTACTGTGCCCAGGATACTTTCTTCCAGGTGAAGGTGAGCCATCCTCCCCGAGCTTCTGTGTCCTCGGATCTTGCATAGAGCTGGGCAGGGAGTGGCTCGGTGGGGGCAGAGCAGTGACAGGGGAGGCTAAGGGAGCGGGGGGAGAGGGAGGGGGAGAAGGGAGGGCTCAGAGTGAGCCCGGAGGGCTTCACGGAAGAGTCAAGCAGAACTGCACCTTAAAAAGTAACACTTTGGCCATGAAGGAAGTCAAGGGGAGGCCATGCATCTACATGGGGTTAGGAGTGAGTAAAGGTACGGGGGTGGAGATGCGGCTGGGGTTGCTGCTGGGATCAGTCCTGGAGAGGACGCAGACAAGATGGAACCCGTAGAGGCAGGAAGGGGGTCAGATGGGCAGAGTTTGAGGGATTCCCTCTGGAGGTAGACGTGGCCGACCCTAAGAAGTTGGGAGGGCAGAGGAATTGGGAAGTGGGCTGTATTCTAGGCTGAAAGAAGTTACCTGGGTGAAAGCATGTGGATGGCAATGAAATGGGGTATTGGGGGGGGGGGGGGGCAGTCTCTGAGGTGGGTGTGGAATGTGCCTCTACAATAAATGCGGGATTTCACTGGCACTGAGGTTACACGGTGGGGGGCAGTATCGGGCACAGACAAAGCCATGATACCGTGGTCCGCCCCAGGAGGTGGACATAGGTTTGGCAGCTGATGTGGGAACGCTGCAGCGACTGCCCAAAGTCATCGGAAACCAGAGGTGAGCGGAGCAGCCGAGGGAGGGGACCCCGGGCATCTCCCGGGCCAGGATGAGGGCCGTCCCCTGATAGGCTTTCCCCGCTTTCTTGCAGCCTGGTCAACGAGCTGGCCTTCACTTCCCGCAAGATGATGGCTGATGAGGCCCTGGGCAGTGGTCTGGTCAGGTAGGGGCTGAGGCCTGGGCTGGTTGAAGGCTCGGGCCAACCTGGGCAGGGCTCTTTGGGTCCCCGTGTATCTTCACAGATTCCACTCTCTGGGTGGTCAATTCTTTATTCTGGGGTCCAGTGCCCTGCTCTGATTGGTCTCTCTCACTGGGCGGTTTCCCGCTTTCCACTGTGGTTGGCCGATTCTTCATCCGTGGGAACCTTCCCAGAACCCCCACACCCCATTACGGATTCCCTTCGTCCGCAGCCGGGTGTTGCCAAACAAGGAGGACATGCTTGAGGCAGCCTTCACCCTGGCGGAAGAGATTTCCGCCAAGAGCCCTGTGGCAGTGCAGAGCACCAAAGTCAACCTGATCTACTCCCGCAACCATTCCGTGGCCGAGAGTCTCAACTACGTGGTAAGGCTCTCCGTCCAGCCAATCACAGCCCCTCTCCAGTCCCAGAGCGACCAATCAGGGCCCCTGCAAGCAGACCTCTGCAGGCCTTGCCCTCCGATTGGCGTGCTGTCTCTTCTCTGTTTTTCATTGGCCCAACTCCATTCCCTGCCCTTGCCATTATGCTCCACCCTCTTCATCCAGGCCACCTGGAACATGAGCATGCTGCAAACCCAGGACATCGTTAAGTCTGTCCAGGCTGCATTGGAGAAGAAGGACCTGAAGAGCGTGAACTTCTCCAAGCTCTGAGAGCCCCCAAGGGCCAGGCCTCGCCCTTTGTCCCACCTCATGCCGTTTCCTCATCCACAGAGAAGGAGGATTAGTGAGGATCGTCGTCTCCGTGCCTTCATGCCTGATTTCCAATTTATAGCTGGGACACTGATTTCCTCATGCCCAGGGCTTTATCTTCACCCAAACAATAAAGGTACTTAAGGAACCCGGTGTCTTTATTGCAAAGAGAGGAGAGGCAGCAAGGAGCCAAGATGCGCCTATGCCCACGGCCCTCAGCGGTGCTGAATGTTGGGGACAGAGATTTGGCCAATGGGAATGGGAGCCACGCAGGCGATGCCCATTCAGAGCTGGCAGTGGGCAGCCCAGGGCCAATAGAAAGTCTGGCAGGGGTGGGGCAAGCAAAAGTCAGTGCCTTCTGCAGGCCTAAGGGCTGTGGCTGGTCCCCCTGCCTGCTCCAGGCTCCAGAGCTCCGTTCACCCTGCCTGGCACCCACTCACTGCATAGCCTAATGGGATGCGACGCTAGAGTCTGGCTAGAGTTCTGCTGACACCCAGTCTCGGGCCAACTGCCTCATTTCTTTAAGCTTCAGGTTTTCATGTCCGTAGATAAGCCCAACCTCCTGGGTTTATGTTTAGAACGAGTACAAGAGGCCAAGGATTAATTTAACGCCTTCTATGTGCCGAGTCCTGTTCTGAGCATTTATTCCCCGAGTGACTCCTTTCAAGGCTTCTGTGAGGTCGATACTACTAATAGCCCCATTTTACAGTTGGGCAAATCGGGAAATTGAGGTTCAGGCCAAACTAATGCAAGACCAAACAGCCAGGAAGTGGCCAAGGCAAGATCTGAACCCAGCACCCCTGGCTCCAGAAGCCGTGATCTATGCAGTCCAGGGCCCCCCGGGGTGGCTCATTCGGTTGGGCAGCCGACTTCAGCTCTCGTGGTTTGTGAGTTCGAGCCCCGCATCCGGCTCTGTGCTGACAGCCCGGAGCCTGCTTGGGATCTGTGTCTCCCTCTCTCTGTGCCCCTCCCCCTGCTCGTGCTCTGTCAAAAATGAGTAAATGCTAAGAAATTTTTTAATTAATTATTTAATTAATTAAAAACTATACAGTGCAGTGTGCACGGGTCCGGCATGCAGTGGGCATGCAAATGCCTTCCGCAGTTCCTAAGAGTGTCCAGGGCATCCAGCTCCTCCCTTTCACCCACTCCCATTGCCCATCTGTCACAGGTCGCGCCTGCAGCCTTGCCCTGCCCAACCCTCCTGGACTCACCCTCCCTCTGCTAACAAAGGTCTGGGCAGGCTTTTATGGGCTCTGATAAGGCCCTGGCGGGGCTGAAGTTCACTACACTTCCTCTTTGCGGAAGGGCCTGAAGGAGGGGGCTCTGACCTGAGTCCTCCTGACCTGACCCAGATAGATGAACTGGGTTCTGACTGGTTACCAGTGAGGCTAGTAAGAAAGGGGACACGAGGGGGTGCCCTAGAAAAAGATGGGAGCCGGGAATGCCCGGAAGAGGGGCCCTGTGGACCCTGCCCCGCCAGCCACTCCCTTATCCTCCGGTATAAGAGCCACCCCCCTCCTGCCGTCTGCCACCATTCCCCGCTCCTGCACCTCTTCTCACCCGACGACGACGACGAGCCACCAGCCCAGCCTCTCAAGATGGCCTATGTCCCCGTACCCGGCTACCAGCCCACCTACAACCCGGTGAGATAGCGGCCCGGGCCCCAACCGCAGGCCCCGGCTTAGTTTCACCCTGAACCCCACACACCAATTTCCTCTCCTGATTCCTCAGAGGTGCCCTCGCCCCCAACCTTGACTCTGATTTACCCGATACTGACCCTGGGGCTTGATTTACTCCCATCCTGACGCCCTGGCTCTTCATAGCCACACCTGACGCTCCGCTCTCTTCACCTTCCCGCGGACCCTTCACCCCTAGTGTCCCAATGAGAGTGCGGGGGGCTTCTCGATGAGGGGTAAAGTCTCACCAGGCCCCTTCCACAGACTCTGCCCTACAACAAGCCCATCCCGGGTGGTCTCTGCATCGGAATGTCTGTTTACATCCAAGGAGTGGCTAGCGAGCACATGAAGAGGTAAGGCACTCCCCTCCGCCAGGCTAGGCTAGGAGGGGCTACAAACAGGGGCTTCTGCCCTAATGCAGAAGCCCTTCTTCCTTCCTGCTTGGGAAGGGGACCTCTGTGCCCCTGCACCCGATGGCCAAAGATCAACCCTAGCCCCTGGGACGTCCAGGACTCGGTGACCAGGAGCAGGGAGCCTGGGGGCTGGGAGGCGTCAGGGAGGCTCACGGAGAGAGGCAGCCCGGCCCGGGGAGCTGGGATGTTGGACTGGAATTGATGGGTGTGATAGCATGAATTCAGATCACAGCCTCTGGGCTCGGCCTGGCCAGCTCTGTCACTGGCCAACTGTGTGACCCGGGAAAGGCACCACGCCTCTCTGTGCTTTAGGTTCCTGGTTGTAGAATGGGATTGTCCTGAGGGTTCAATGCGTAAAACTGGAAAGTAAGCACTAAAATAAGTCTTAACATTTTTTTAGGGCCTTAAAATGGTGATAAAGATGGAAGCGAGCTGAAGGCATTGTTGTTTCTCGCTCGTTGGTGTTTTGGTCATTTTGTGCCCGCTGTGTGCCTGGGCACTGGGGACAGAGCAGTCGACAGGGCCGAGATCTCTGCCCACATGGAGCTGACATCCTAGTAGAGAGGAGAGGTGAAAGACAAAAATCAAATCTGTAATCAAAATCAAAAATCAAAGTGGTGATAAGTGCTAAGCAGACACACTGGGAAAGGAGTTGGGGAATGGATGTGGGGGGTGGGGAGGGACCCTGTGGCATTGTCCCTTTAAATAGCTTAGCGGGGTGGGAACACTTCAAAGACCCACAGAAGAGGAGGGAGGGAGCCTGGGAGTATAGGCGGATAGAAAGAACAGCCCTTGCAAAGGCCCTGAGGTGGGGGTGTGTGTGCCCAGTTTGGAATAACTTCAGGGATGCTGGCCCGAGGGAAGGGGTGGGTCGCGTGGGTTCCTAGGTCCCCCCTGGCTGCTGGTGGGGAAAGGCCTCCAGGTCAGGGAGGGAGCAGAGAGGTTCCTAGGACAGTGCCCGGCCCTTGGAAATGCAGGAGTCCCAGTGTGGTCTTATTTTAAGTTGGGGGAGGCTTGGGGCGGGGGGGGGGAGGGGGGCGTGGTCTGGTTAAGGGAAGGGAATGAGCATGGCAGTCCTCCTGGACTCCAGGGCACTACCCCCGCCCCCCTCTCTCGGGTCAGCAGTGCCCAAGTGTGCTGTCCCGTTTTGTCCTGGTCCCCCAACCCCCCTCCCGCCCCTTCGGGAAGTGAGAACTGGGTAGGTCTGAGCGGGCTTCCAGGAGGAGGGCCCGGTGAGCAGGCAGGTGGGGCCGGGGGAACAGCCCTTCCTGTCCCACCAGGTTCTCCGTGAACTTCGTGGCGGGGCAGCACCCGGGGTCAGATATCGCCTTCCACTTCAATCCCCGCTTCGATGGCTGGGACAAGGTGGTCTTCAACTCCATGCAAGGTGGCAAATGGGGCAGCGAGGAGAAGAAAAGGAGCATGCCTTTCCGCAAGGGCACCGCCTTTGAGCTGGTGTTCATGGTCCAGGCCGAGCACTACAAGGTCTGAGCTTGGGGGCGGGGCCTCCCTCCTCCCTAACCCCCCTTCCTCCTCCCCGCTGCCTCCCTCTCCCTCCCTCTCCACCTTCCTTCCTCCCTCTCTTCCTCTCTTCCAGCTGTACCTCCCCCTGCTCCCCCTCCTCCCCTTCTACTTCTCCCCCTTCTCCCCCTCCTTCTCCTCCCCTCCTCCCTCTCCCCTCCCCCTTCCCACCTCACTTTTTTCTTTTCCTTCTTTCCTGCCTATTAAACACTTTTTCTCTTAAACAATTTTTTTTTTTCTCACGTTCCTCATTCCTATTCCTCTACCGTGGGCAGCCTTGTCATGTTTAACGTTGATCGCTTTGTTCCTCTGCATTCTTGCAAAATGCTTATGCTTGCTCTTTCTTCTGGAGAACTCTGAACACACACAAGAGGAGGCGCGGGTGCAGTGACCCGCTGGTCCCCTTGGCCAGCTCCAGTGGTCGTGAGCTCCAGGCCCCTGTGTTTGCATCCTTCCCTGACGCTTCCCTCTCATCTGATTTAAAAGCAAATCCCAGATATAATTTCATTCATAAATATTTCAGTGTTTAAGAACATAGTCACAAGGCCGTTACCATACCTCAAGCACTGACAATTCTTCCTGGGGCCCTCACATCCTGTCAGCCGTCCGGTGACCTCATAAATACCTTAAGGTGTGTTGTTGTTTTAAAGTTTGTTTTGAGAGAGAGAGGGAGCATGAGGGCAAGGGCTCAAGCAGACGAGGGGCAGAGAAAGAGGGAGCGAGAGAGAATCCTGAGCAGGCTCCGCACTGTCAGCACAGAGCCCAACACAGGCCTCGAACCCACGAACTGTGAGATCATGACCTGAGTCTTGTCTGCACTTTGTTTGACTCCGCCTCCGGATAAGGCCCACACGCTGTGACTGATTACTATGATGCAAGTATTTTTTTAAGTTTATTTTATTTTTGAGAGAGAGAGAGAGAGAGAGAGAGCACATGCTCGCGTGCCGGTGGGGGAGGATCAGAGAGAGGGAGACAGAGAATCCGAAGCAGGCTCTGAGCTGTCAGCACAGAGCCAGAGATGGGGCTTGAACCCACGAACTGAACCATGAGATCATGACCCGAGCTGAAGCTGGACGCTTTCACTGACTGAGCCACCCAGGTGCCCCTATGCAAGTATTTTTAATTTTCTTAATTTTTTAATTCTATTAAGCTTTATTTACAACAAATTTTTTATGCCTGTTTATTTTTGAGATGGAGAGAGAAAGAGGGTGAGCGGGGGAGGGGCAGAGAGAGAGAGAGAGAGGGAGACACCAAATCCGAAGCAGGCTCCAGTCTCCGAGCTGTCAGCACAGAGTCGGACGCGGGGCTTGAACCCACAAACCGTGAAATCGTGACCTGAGCCGAAGTCGGACGCTTAACCGACGGAGCCACCTGGGTGCATCGCAAGTATTTTTTAAAATGTGTTACTGAAGTGCACAAAAGAGTGCGAGCCATGTGTACAGAGCTTGCTGGTGTTTCACAAAGACAACATACCCGTGGCACCAGCACCTAAGTCCAGAAATAAGACTCCTCCGGAGCTGGCTGTCAGCCCCATGCCCCCTGCCTGGCGCCATAAATAGAACCGTGAGGACATCAAGGACGCTGAGATATGATAACAAGGCTCCACACAGGATTTCCACAACGCCTTTGACATGCCTGGCTGGGTTTTAATGTTCCCTCCAAAGGCTCAGAGAGGTGGAATGACTTCCCCGAGGTCACACAGCCAACGCGTCAGAGCTAGACTCGGGCCCATCTCCTTTGGCGCCGAAACCAAAACTCTGACTTGATTATCTCGCGATCGATGGCTCTCCTGGCTACATTCTCCATTGTCTCCCAACCACCGGTCTCTGAGCTGCCCCTTGACCCCGGCTTGACCTCCGACCTGCAGACTCCGAGATTCCTGACTCTGTGGCTATCCCAGCTCGTCCCCAAGACGCGTCTCCGAGTTAAAAAGATCTCTGTTGCCTGCTTCCTGTTTCTGCTTTCCCAAGGTCATGGGGGCTGACTCTGACCTCACCCCCTGCCCTCCAGGTGGTGGTAAATGGAAATCCCTTCTATGAGTTTGGGCACCGGCTGCCCCTGCAGATGGTCACCCACCTGCAAGTGGATGGGGACCTGGAGCTTCAATCAATCAATTTCATTGGCGGCAACCCCCCGCCAAGCCAGGTGGGTGGCGTCTCCTCACTTATGTGCCTGCTTCCTTCCTTAATTCATTCCCTCACTCCTTTATTTCCCCGAGCACCTGCTCCGTGCCAGGCCCTTCGCTGGCTGAGCCACAGACTCAGAGGCAACTAAGACAATCCACTGGGAAGACAAGACATTTCCCCAGGCAGTGTTGGCTCTAAGCGGTCAAGGCCGGGGTGGGAGACAGGAGGTTTGGGGAGTCCGAGGGGAAGGCTTCTGGGAGGAGGAGGAAGTCCGTCAGCTGAGTCAAGGAGCAAAGATAAGGAGGAACAAAAGCCACGGGGAATAGTAGGCGAGTCCATGAGAAGTTGCCCAACATTGCTAGTCACCGGAGAGAAACTCACTTCAAGTCACAACGAGCTCCCCCCCCCCCCCCCCCAACGAGAAGAGCTGTCGAGGGAAAGGCACACAATAGCGATTGTGGGCGAGGCTGGGGGAACTGGCCCGACACTCCCCTGGAAATGACTGGGCAGCGTCTGCGAAAGCTGAGCGGAGACACACGCGATGACCTAGAAACCCCATTCCCACGTCCACAGTGGACAGACAGGCACCAAAACACCCATAGCAGCACTCGGATTCTAGACGCCAGCCATGTCCTTCAGCTGAGGGCTCTCTACTCCCCAGCCTGTACGCCCCCGTCCCCCACCTCCTCGGGGAAAGTGCTCTGATGATCATCGGACCCATTTTACAGATGGGGGAACCGAGGCACAGAGACAGGAGGAAGCAGGACCAGGGAGGGCGCAAGAGTAGAATGCACCAGGCTCACCCTAAAGGGGTGCAGGGTCACTGTGTCCCGAAGATCCCTAAACGTGGCAATTTCCTCTCCATTAATGAGCCACCTGGGTGCCACTCTTTGACCCCAGAGTCCTCTTGGACCGCGGTCGTGGGGCTGCCCTGGGCAGGCATCCTTGACACCCCCCACCCCCAGGCCCTAGTTTGGGGTCTCCCTCATTGCCTGCCTTCCTACACACATTGCCTTTGTGCCCACAGACACCCATGGGCACGCCGGCAAACCTAGTAAGTACCTGTCGATGGGTGATGGAATTCTTGTGGTGGGGGCTTGGTGGCCTGAAGGACCCCCCAGCCCCCCTCACCATTTCTGCCTTCCATTCATCTGTATAGGGTCCTGGATACACCCAGCAACTGCCAAGTAACCTGCCTGTAAGTGGGAGAATTGGGTGGCCACTTGGGGTGGGGGGGGAGGGGTGGTGAGAAGTGCGAGGGGGGTCAAGGAGGTGGGCCCCCCCGTTGTACTAATCCAGCACCCAGAGATACACCTGCACATAGTTGGTGCGCCATAAATATTTGTCAAATATTCTAGAATAACACCTCTCCTTCCTCACCTCACAGACCATGGAGGGACCCCCAATCTTCAACCCGGTAACGTGTCCCGTGGGCGTTTAGGGCTCTGTGGTGGGCAGTTTGTGGGGAAGCCAGAGCCGACGGTGGGCAGGGGGGCTCTGAGAGGGTGGGAAATAGAGTGGGCAGAGGGTGTTGGGGCGGGAGGCGGGGAGAGGGTGGGGCTGGTGGCCAGAGTGGGGAGGGGACGGGAGTTGGGGACATTTCCTAGGAGTGGGCACCCCTCTCTGAAAATTTGTCCCTGCCTCTGGCTTCTGGTGACCTGAGAGGTGACAGGACCCCATGTTCTCCGCCCACAGCCCGTGCCATTCAGGAGGATCTTGCAAGGGGGGCTTACGGCCCGAAGAACCATCATAGTCAAGGGCTTTATACCCCCTACAGGCAAGAGGTACCCAGTCTGCACTGAAGCGGGGATCCTCAGCCCGCTTCCTCCTTCAGACCCAGGAGTCTGGGCCCCGGCCCCCTCCTCCCTCGGAGAACCAGGCACTGGCCCCCGTGTGACTCCCACCTCCTTCCCTCCCTGCCTTCAGCTTTGCGATCAACTTCATCGTGGGGTCCACGGGGGACATGGCTCTGCACATTAACTCCCGTCTGACCGAGGATACCGTGGTCCGGAACAGCTACCTGAATGGTTCGTGGGGATCCGAGGAGAGGAAGATCTCCTACAACCCATTTGGTCCTGGGAAATTCTTTGATGTGAGTCGGGGGTCTCTTTCGCCCCCTTCCCTCCAGAGCCTATGTCCTGGCCCTAGCCTCAAGCCTGCCCTCTCCCTGCAGCTGTCCATTCGCTGTGGCATAGATCGCTTCAAGGTTTACGCCAACGGCCAGCACCTCTTCGACTATTCCCATCGCTTCTCGGCCTTCCAGAACGTGGACGTCCTAGAGATCCAGGGTGATATCAACTTGTCCTATATCCAGATCTGATCTATTCCCAGAGCCATAACTCTTGGGGACACAGAGAGAAAGAGCCCACAGGACTCTCTTCTAAGCCCTTAATAAAATGTCTGAGGGTGTCTCATGCGTGTCCGTCACGTCCGTATCGCTGTTCCTTCCTTCCTTGGTTTGATCATACACTGTCCATTCAGCCACCTCATCACCTGTCCATCGATCTTCCCATCACAATAAATCTAGGAATATTCCAGACACAGATCTTGGGCTTGAAGTGTATCAACTCATTTGCTCCTCACAAAAACACCAGGAGATAGGACTATTATTATCGTACCTCTGGAAAAGATGAGGAAACGGGCAAATTAAAATAAAGCAGGGGCGCCTGCGTGGCTCCGTCAGCTGGGCTGAGAGCTCAGAGCCTGGAGCCTGCTTTCGATTCTGTGTCTCTCTCTCTCTCTCTCTGCCCCTCCCCTGCTCACGGTCTGTTTCTCTCTTTCTCTCAAAAAGAAAAAAAAAAAAAAGTTAAATAAACATTAAAAAAATTTTTAAGTAAAGCAAATTGCCCAAGGTCACACGGCACATAAATGGCAGAATGAGGATTCAAATCAAGGTGGTCTGGGTACACTCTTGGTCACTATACAACCCATTTTTCCATCCGTCCATGTATCCACCTGTCCATTCATCCATCACCACATCCATAAATCTCTCCAAACATCCATCCAAGCATATGTTCATCTATCCACCTAAATACACAGTCAAGGACGCCTGGCTGGCTCCGTCGGTGGGGCAGCAACTCTTGACCTCGAGGTTGTGAGTTCGAGCCCCACATCGGATGTAGACATTACTTTTTTTTTTAATTAAAAGAAATTCTTTTTAGAACTTTTATTTATTTACTTTGAGAGAGAGAGAACAAGAGAGAGCAAGAGTTGTGGGGTGGTGGGGGGAGAGCAGAGGGAGAGAGAGAGAGAGAGAGAGAGAGAGAGAGACTCCCAAGCAGATTCCATGCTCAGTGTGGAGCCTGCCACAGGGCTCCATCCCACAACCCTCACAATGTGACCCAAGAGGAAATCAAGAGTTGGACGCTCAACTGACTGAACCACCCAGGCGTCCCAGAGATTACTTAAAAATTTTTTTTGAAAATCTAAAACACAAAAAAACAAATAAACATCCAACCATTCGTCCACTCACCGTCACCTAACTCTCCACCTATCCAGCCGTTTGTACATCCATTCATCACCCAACCCTTCACTCAGCCATCTGACCATCCATCCATTCAAACATCTAACCATTTATTTATTCACTCATCCGTCTGTCTGTCCATTCAGCCATCCTGACATCCAACTTGCATTCACTCATTGATCTGTTCATCTCTCCATTTGTCCGTGCAATTCTCTGCCTTCCATCACATCCATCCATCCATCCATCCATCTATCCATCTCTCCATGCGCCATTGATCCCTCTGACTAGGCATCGATTTCTTCATTCTCTACCTATCATGTCATCCATCCATATCTTTATGATATATTCTTCTATTCATTTCCAACTATTTGTCCATTCATTTACCATTTCCTCTCTCCATCTGTCCACTAACCATCTACCATCCAGCCAATCATCCTCTTACCACCACACCCTTGCATGGATTTAATCATTTGTTCATTTGTTTACACTTTCATTCACCCATTCATTCATTCCTTTGTCATTTCCTCACTTGTTCACCTATCCGTTTATCCAGGCATTTCTCCGTGTCTATTCATTTGTTCGTTCGTTCATTCATTGTTTATTGTCTCATTTATTCCCTTAATCTAGTTCTCAAAAGTGGCTGTACATTGCAATCATCTGGGGAGATTTAATTAAAAAAATTTTTTTAGAGAGGGGGAAGGGGCAGAGCGGGGGATGGGGGGGGAATAGAGGATCCAAAGCGGGCTCCTCGCTGACAGCAGGAAGCCCCATGTGGGGCTCTAACTAACCAACTAAGAGATTATGAAGTTGGATGCTTAGGGCAGCCACTACCCAGGTTGGCATGTCCCAGGGATGTCAGCGGAGGAACAAATCAGTAGCAGAGCCTGGAGGGGCTCAGCAAGAGGGATGGAAGACCTGGAGAGGTCATGTTTGGTTTTCTATCGCTGCTGCAGCATGTTTGAAGAAATATGGCTACAGACTTGCCAAAGTTCACAAAAGCCATTAATCTACAGATCCAAGAAGTTTAATGACTTGCAAATAGGATAAATACAAAGAGATCCACACCTAGACCCATTATTGTCAAACTGCTGTAAAAAACATAAAAGACAGAAAACCTTGAAAGCAGGAAGTGAAGAACAGCTCGTCTTGTACAGCGTTAACAGCAGTACAATTAATAGCTACCTTTTTATAGAAACAATGAAGGTCAGGGGCGCCTGGGTGGCTCAATCGGTTATGCATCTGACCTTGGTTTTGGCCCACGTCATGATCTCACAGTTCATGAGTTCGAGCCTTGCATCAGACTCTGTGCTGACAGCGCAGAGGCAGCTTCGGATCCTCCGCCTTCCTCTCTCCCTGCCCCTCCCCTGCTCTCCCTCTCTCTCTCTCAAAAATAAATAAGCATTAAGAAAAAAAAAAAAAAAACCAAAAAAAAAAAACCCAACAACCAAGGTCTTTGGGATCAGAGAAGATCAGAAAGGAGCTGAGCAGTTTCATGACTCAGTCAAGGCGCTAAAAGAAAAAGAAAACTATCAACAAATACTTCTATCTTCAACAAAACTGTATTTCAAAACCGAAAGCAAAATAAGGACAGTCCCAGATAAACAAAAGCTGACAATTCATTGTTAACAGAGCTGCCCTCTAGGGAATGCTAAAGGAAGTCCTTCACACTGAAAGAAACTGACATCAAACAGAAACTCAAATCCCCGGGGAGAAATGGGCCCCAGAAATTAGAAGTATGTAGATAGATATTTTTTTAATGATATAAATATATGTTTTCTGTTTACTTCTTTTGATTTCTTTTAAAATACGATTGTATAAAGTGAAGGTGATAATACTAAGTTGTAGGGTACATAGCACATCTCTATGTTATATATATGACAATAATACCACACAAGGCGGGGGCAGGGGGGGAATAGGGATGTACGGAGCAATGCTGCTATATTTTACTGGAATTAAATCAGTTTTGGGGCGCCTGGGTGGCTCAGTGAATTAAGTGTCCGACTCTTGATTTCAGCTCAGGTCATGATCTCACGGTTTGTGAGTCTGAGCCCTGCGTGGGGCTCCATGCTGTCAACATGGAGCCAGCTTGGGATTCTCTCTCTCTCCCTCTCTCTGCCTCTTCCCTGCTCACGCTCTCTCTCTTTCTCTCTCTCAAGATAGATAAATAAACTTAAAAAAAATCTTTAAAAGAAAAATGAAGTTGACCGTCATAAGTAAAGAGGTACATTGTAATCACTAGACTGACCACTCAAAAACCAGCTTTCAAAAAATACTGCTAAAAAAACCAATAGAGGAATTTAAACGGTCCACTAAGAATTGTTTAACACAAAAGAAGGTAGTGACAGATTAACAGAGAGTAAAAACAAAGAGCAAAAAAGGCAGCCGTAAAGCCAGTTGTATCAATAATTACACCAAGTGTGAATGAAATAAATACTCCTATCAAAGGGCAGAGACTGCACTAACGAATCAAAAAAGCAGCCATTAGGCAATGCGGACATGCAGGAGCCTGGCTGTGTTCCCATAAAACTTGAGTCATGGGGGCGTCTGGGTGGCTCAGTCAATTGAGACTCAGACTTCAGCTCAGGTCATGATCTCATGGTTCGTGAGTTCAAGTCCCTCATCAGGCTCACTGCTGTCAGTGCAGAATCCACTTCAGATCGTCTGTGTCCCTCTCTCTCTGTCCCTCCCCTGTTCATACTCTCTCTCTCAAAGATAAATAAAACATTACAAAAAAACAAAAACAAAAACCAAAACCTTGAGTTATGGGTACTGAGACTTGAATTCCATATAATTTTTAGTGTTTTAGTGTTTTGAAATATCCTTTCTTTTATGTTTTCACCTATTTAAAAATGTAAAACCTATTCTTAGCCTGTGAGCCATACTCAATCAGACAATGGGTGAGTTTGGCCACAGCAATAGTTTGGAAAGCTTCTTTCAGATGACTGCAACTCCACATATGTTTGAATGTAACTCCATGGAAAATCAGAGCCACACCACCCTAAGTAGGCCACTCCTGGATCCTAATTTCAGAAACCGTGTAAGATCATACAAATGTTATGGTGCTAAGTTACGGAGTAACAGAAGCCTGCTTCTGTTTCTGTGTCTCCCTCTCTCTCTGCCCCTCACCCATTCGCACTGTCTTTCTCTGCCTTTCAAAAAAAAAATGAATAAATGTTAAAAAAATTTTTTTAATAATAAAAAAAAAAAAGAAAGCAAGATCCAAGTATATGCTGTCTATAAAAGATACACTTTTGGGGAGCCTGGGTGGCTCAGTCGGTTGGGCGACTGACTTCAGCTCAGGTCACATGATCTCTCAGTTTGTGAGTTCAAGCCCCACATTGGGCTCTGTGCTGACAGTTCAGAGCCTGGAGCCTGCTTCGGATTCTGTGTCTCCCTCTCTCCCTGCTCCTCCCCAACTGCATTCTCTCTCTCTCTCTCTCTCTCTCTCTCTCTCAAAAATAAATAAACATTAAAAAAGATTAAGAGAAAAGACACACTTTAGATCTAAGACACCAGTAAGTTGAATGTAAATGGATGAGAAAAGATATATCATGCCAAGAGTAACCATGAGAGAGTAAGAAGGACAGAGTTACTCTCAGACACAATAGATGTAAAAGAAATTGTACTAGAGACAAAGAGGGACTTTTTTTTTCAACGTTTATTTATTTTTGGGACAGAGAGAGACAGAGCATGAACGGGGGAGGGGCAGAGAGAGAGGGAGACACAGAATGGGAAACAGGCTCCAGGCTCTGAGCCATCAGCCCAGAGCCTGACGCGGGGCTCGAACTCACGCACCGCGAGATCGTGACCTGGCTGAAGTCGGACGCTTAACCGACTGCGCCACCCAGGCGCCCCTAAAGAGGGACATTTTGTAATGATAAAAGGGACAATCCATCAGATACACACACACACACACACACACACACACACACACACGTACATATATAGTAAATACATCATATATATATATATACATATCAAGTAAAAATGTATACTAACAAGAGATCCCAAAATGCATGACAAATAGACTATTGAACAGCTATTAAGTTGTAGTAACCCTCTTTTAGCAATTGATAGAACAA